TGTATAACAAACTTAAATACTGACTTCTGATTGGCTACGTGCACTTAGGAAGGTTAGTATGATATAAAAAATCTTTTAAGTAAATATGCATTTGCAGAATATAGAATGTATATTGAGCACTAATGATTTTATACAGCCAAGATAAAAATGTGCATTTAGGGAGATATTGCATTTATGGAGGTTGCATTTAGGGAGGTCTGACTGTATATATATATATTTAAATTATACTATTTAAAAGTTTTTTATATATTATAATATAGTCAAATTCATATTTAATATACAATTCTCCCCAATGATCACTTGGACCAACTAGTACCAAAAGCAAGTTGAAGACTTAAGGCCAGAAGTTAACAACCACTTGAAGTTTTCTTAATACGTACTGTTGTCGATAAAGTCTTTAAATGTGATATACCAAAGAGCAGATGCTTTAGACTAGTACTTCTAGGTTTGGTCTGAGTTCAGTCTGGTCTGGGTCTGGTTTGGGATTGAACCAGACTCAGACTCTAAATTTTACTAGTTTTGAACTTCAGACCAGACTTAAACTTAATTATGAGTCCAGTCTGAGTTTAGTCTGAAGTTTGCAAACTAGTTTGAGTCTGAATATACATAGAGTGATTGAAAAGTTTTGATCATTGATCTATATCATCTGAATTATCAATCTAAGACTAAAATAGAAATAATATGATTAAATATATCCTTTTATAGATTTTACATGATAAATTTTTTTAGTTATTATATATGTTAATCGCTAAGCAATAATTAATCTTTTTTATGATTCCAAGACAATTAGATGAAATAAGCTATAAAAATCAATAGTATTTAATTTTGTTGTCTAGAAAAATAACAAGAAAGCATCTCAGATCTACCAAGAGTTAGTGAATGCTAAAGGTGGTTAAGCACTATCAATTCGTATAATTAGATACTGGATTGCCTCATTTAATAATAGGGAGGAAAACATTAAAGATAAGTCTCAATCTGAATGTTCTTATGAAGCAATAACAACAATTACTATTAATAAAATTAAAGAACTTATTAATAATGACCTACATATTACTATCTGTCAGTTAGTATATGAGATTGGTATTTCTTATAAACAGATTAGTTTTATTTTACATAATAAATTAAATATGAGTAAGTTGTATGCAAAATGGGTTCATCACAAACTTATTGCAGATTAAAAAAAAGAACAGGTTATAGTTTCTAAACAGCTTTTAAAAATTCTTGAAAAAGGATTTGCAAATATTATCACTAAAGATGAAATGTAGATGTATTTTTTTACAATTTCTAGCAAAAAAGGTAATAAAGTTTGGTTGAAAAAGGATGAAAATAGCAGTATTGTCATGAGACAGTTGTGGACAGTAAGTTTGAACACTTTGGACAATTTTGGACAATTAAATAAATTAAAATTACTCAAAATTTTATTAAGACAACCTATATTAATTTCTAAGTAAAATATGATCAGCATATAAAAAAATATATAATTATATATTTTTTAAATAAATTTATTAATTATTAAAGCTTAGACATGCTTTGGATACTTGTAGACACTTGGACACTTAGACGTTGGACAGTACCAAAAAAGCTTTTGGATAGTCAAAACATACAACACAGAAAATAGGCCACAAATTGTTCATATAGCCAAAAATTCTAAAAAAAGAATATTTTGCATATTTTACACAATTGAGAGAGTTGTAATATGAATTGTAGTTAAAAAAAATTGTACAGTTAATTCTTATCTTTATGCTAATCATATTCTGCCTGAAGTTTTTTCAAATTTTTTAAAAAAAAAAATAGATCGACCATTAAAAATATGATATGGTATTACGATAATGCAAAACCATATAAGGCTAATATTGTAACTAATTATCTTAAGAAAGAAAGAGTCAAATTGCTTTCTTACCCTCCATATAGTCCTGACCTTGCCTCTTGTAACTTTTTTTTTATTTTCTAGAGTTAAAAAAGAGCTAGTGAGAAAAAGTTTTGATAGTATTGAAAACTTAGCTAGATCTATTCAGATAATTGTTGATAATATCCTGAAAGAGGATTATTACAAGTTATTTTGATTTTGAAAAAATTATCTTAAAAAATGTATAGAGGTTAATGAAGAGTATTTTGAAGGAATGCAATAGTTTATTTTTTAATTTGTTATTGCATTTTAATAAATAAATATATACAGTCAAAACTTTTCAATCAACTCACATATTTATAAAATTAGTCTGGGTCTGAAGTTTGCAAAACATGTTTGGTCTAGTCTGGTATGTTTTTTTGTAGCTTAGCTTATGATTTGTATGCTCACATGATGAGCTAAGCCATAAAAAAATATATGTACTAGACCGGACTGAACATTTGTGACATTCATCTGATTGGCTAATATAAATTAGAACACATTTCATTAATAAAAAATCAACTCTGGATAGAAAATTTTTAGATAATAACCCGGCAGAATAAGAGATTATATAAATATAGACCAATTGGTTACAAAAATCCTTCATTCTTGGGATATAAGGAAGTATCAAAAAATGATTATAGTGACTATATTATTGTTATGGATTATGCAACAGAAGGTTCATTACGGAAAAATCTTGTACAAATATCAACTGGAATGAAAAGATAAATTGGTTTCTTGCACTATAGTTTTAGATCTCAAATCAATTCATTTGCAGGAACTCATTATTTACATAGCGGAAATATTTTGCAAGATAGCTTGCATAATACATATATTATTGATCTTAGACTTTCAAAAAAAGCAAAAGATGAAAAATTCTACTATACATAATGCCTGAGATTTTGATAGATCAATTATATACTCGAGCATCAGATATTTATAGCCTTGAAATTATCTCGACAGAGATTTCGGCTAGACAAAGAGCATTTGATAGCATTTTATTTATAGCTATTTTTATAAATTTTAGAACATCTGATAAAAATTTGCTAAATAATTTTTCAGCCGATTCGATCATATTATTGATTTTGGCAATAATCGGTATATATTTTTACATATAAAACAATTTTATTATTATAAGATATATGTATACTAAAATCAGGAACATAGACAATACTATTTATAATTATATATATATGCTAATTTTTATATTATATTATAAAGCTTTTGATTAGATTTAGTATTACGACCTAATTGTAAAAATTTATTTATTTATTTTGTTACAATAGAAAAAGTTTCGCATTGTGCTTTCATCAACTGGCTTAGTTTGTAAATCATGTAGAGAAATTTTAGAAAATATGTAGATCGCTTAAATAAATAAATTGAAGGTTTAATAGTATTGTAACTAAAAATTGTATATATAGGTAGTCTGCAATCCTATTCCAACTAATAAGTAAATATAATTAGTATAATACCAATTATTGATAATAAAATATTCTGATTAAATATAAAATATAAACTTTATATATTTTTAAGTAAAACTTAATACATTAAAAATTAGAAAAATGATAACATAAATTTAGAATTTGTTAATACATGCATCAGGTATATTATAGCTCTGCTTGCAAACAACTCTATAAAAAGAGATTGTATGAAATTTGTACGTATAATATTCATGTTAAATAGACAGATCATATATTATCATTATACAATTCTATTTATAGAGCAAGTTAATTAGCAAGAATGTTAACAAGAATATACATAAGAATCTATCAAGAAATAGATCATTATGTCATGAAAATCAATAAGAAGTAGATCATTATGTCATGAGTAGAGATGTGTTTCAATAATTATTTAATATAGTTATAGTATGTTATGGCAATTTATAGCATCATTACTTGCACCTCTAGTCAACAGGAGAAAACAGACTCGATCCAAAGTGAATTCTATACATGGCATGATCAATTGCGATAAATTAAAACTAAAATTATTTATATTAATTTTAATTTATTATACTATGTGTGGGATTTACTTTGGATTGGATATGTTTTCTCCTGTTCTTCTAGTCATGAGAATCAATAATAAACATAGATCATTATATCATAAGATTACTATACTGAATCAAACCCAAGATTTGTATATGAATACAAAACTTGTTTCACTACGTCTCTAATATAATATCGATATATAGAAATCAATAACTTAACCAAATTAGCTGAAAAACCATTTGGCTAATTTTTTGTCAGGTGTTCTAGAAGTTATGAAAATAGCTATAATGATTAGGAATAAGGAAGTTTGATTTAGTTCAGTTTGGTTTAATTCAAATTTAATTGATGCATGATCTGTATAAATAAGAATTTATATTAGATCAGACCAAACTTTCTTATCCCTAATAATGATGATATTCCTTAAGAATTATCAGTGGATCTAGACCAGAATGTTTAGAACTAGATTGTTATATTGAATTAGCTACGAAATATATGAATAAAGATTTTGATAAGTGATCTACTGTACTATAACAGAAATTATTACAAGTTGGTTAAATAAAATAGATCAGAAAGATAATAATGCAATTAAACAATAATTTTTGAGTATCAATAAAATTAAACCAGAGTTATTAAACAAATATATTCACAAAATATTTATACTAACAACTACATAATATACAAAAATTTTTGAATATACTTGGTCTAACTACAAACTTGTTCAGCACCAAAAAATATATATTCAGACTCAGACCAGTTTGCAGACTTTGAACTAGACCTAGACCAAACTTAGACTCGACTAAAAAGTTTGAATATAAAAGTCTGAGTCTGGTCTAAAAATCAAACCAGACTCAAACTTGACTAAAGTCTAGTTAAGGTTTGGTCTGTAGAAGCACTACTTTGAATGGTTTGTAAAGAGGTCAAGCCTTTTTCTAGTCTTCTTAGATAGACTTCTCTTTATATTTGGTATACAAACTAGAGAAATCTTTAGAAACAGCAAATAGAAAAAAAAACTTAAGTTTGAAGATAATAAAACATAACGAACTCTTGGAAAACCCCTTTTTAATTTTAAACTTGCAGAACTATAACTTCTCTTGTTGCTTTAACGCTCCCAAAACTAATTTTTGACAAAAAGTAGGAGATTTGGCTACCTCTATCAAAAGATCAGCATTGTTTACTACTTCTATATTTAGTAACTCTGTGATATGAACACAACAAACATGTGGCTATATAAGAAATAATTTATTTCTTATTTGAGAATATGGCCCTAGTATATTGAGGATTTGAAAGGTTTTTAAGAACTTACACACCAATTAGACGAGACGAGACTGGAAGTCGATGCATTTGTTATATTTTGAAATGGAATATGGATTTAAAGTTGGAGCATTAAAGAGAATTTAAGATATATAGTTTAATAACAAAGTTATATGCATATAATTTTTAGCCTTTAGCACAGATTAAAGTGTACTTAATTAGTTTTTTTTTATATCAGCTAAGTTCTATATAATTATTATGATCTTGTAGATAAGTATTCTAGTTAGCAAATACCAATTTGTTAGTTAGTTTCTAAAGTCTTGTATTGTATTATTGCTTTTTTTCTTATCTTTTTTTAGTAGTGTTACAGTACCGTGGCCTTCTTAACAGCAGTACTATAACAATGACACGGCTACAAGGATCCTTTACAGGTTTATAG